TTTAGTATTAGTTATTCTATTATTGTATTATTATTATATTACTAGTAGTTGCTAGAACTTTCTAGTTGATTAGTAATTACTTAGTTGCTTAGTTGCTTAGTCACTTAGTCGCTTAGCTGTTTAGTTGCTTAGTCATTTAGTAATTAGTCGCTTAGTAATTATTAGTCATTAGTTACTAGAACCTTCTGATCGCTTAGTAATCACTTAGTCACTTAGTCACTTAGTTGCTTAATTGCTTAGTTGCTTGGCTGCTTAGCCACTTAGCTTACAGATATATAAACTCTGCTAAATTTCCCAAATGCAATTAAGCAACAGACACTTCTCTTTCCTTTAATATTGTAAACACATCTTGGAATTCTTTAGAAACAGAAACCTAAGGATAGCCCTCCTTGTTATTACTTTAATAAAAGGCTTTTGACTATAAACTGTATTAATACTCCTCCTTTAGGATATTTCCTACAGGCAAGGTTTATTTCCTCTTTGTGAAATAAAGTAAAGTTATTAATATTGCATTACCTTTCCCCGAACTGCCTCAATAAAGGGTATAGTTTCTTGACAATGTCGAACAGAAGCTATACCTTCCTCTTAGACACTGCATATACCTGTAAGAGATTTTTTGTACCATGTTATTGTTATAGTATAAAAATTAAGAAGGCTTTCATCTATAACAATATTTTATTTTTATTATTTTTTAAAATTTTATAAAATAGCCAAAATTCTTTCAAAATTATTTTGTTACTTTCGCAATATTGTGAAATTATTTTATTTTGAAATAATTTCATGTTAATCACAGTTATTTCAAAAGATTTTTGGTATATAAAATCTTTTACAATATTTCATATATTTATTCTGCTAATAATAGTTAACTGTTTTTTGTGATTAATTGAGATTAAATACTTGTAACCTGTAATATATTAGTATAACTGGAAGGTTTAGACATTTGTATAATATTATATAAAGAAACACAAACTGGTACTGAATAGTGTAAACTCATGATAAGTTTTTAAACTATCTAAATTACAGAAATCAAATAAAAAAATAAAAACTTATTTAAAAGATCCAAGTAAAGAGATAATTTAAACTTTTAACAGTATTATTATAAAGACTAAATCTATAAAACAGAGCTAGAACTTATGAAGCCAGACAAATATGTTAGTTTTTGAAAAGAGATTAGGTAAACTAACCAGGCTGCTAAAATTTTCAGATTTCAAAAAAAAAAGTATATGCCAGTGAATATATAAATCAAAAGTATATAGTTATGACCTATTTTTCTAAGCTATCTGAATTAGCAGCTTGGTAGAACTTAAATTGAATACTAAATTAATAGAGATATATTGTAAAGTCAGTATTGAGATTAGAATAAACTCTACAAAAACATAGTAGTTTAATGATTACAAGTATTAGTCTTAATCATAATGATATTAGAGTAGTTATAAAAATGAAATATAGAAGATTCTAAAAAGTTTAGTACAAGGTCAAAGGTTTCTTATATGAATAAACTGCTTCAAAAACTTAGTGATCATAATATATTTTCATTAATATTAATCAAAGTTGTTAGTAGACAAAGATAGAGAATAGATATAAGAACTAGAATATTTAAATAAAGAATCTATAAGCAGATTTCAGATATAACAGCTAATATAAAATTTTTGAATAAGGGTGTGGTGACCTAGTGAAGTGGATAGATTGTCAATCTTCAAATGGCAGGTTTAGAGTTCAAATTCTAGTGATGATAAAAATTTGCAATTCTTTCTGTGTTATGGCTAACTGTCTTCTGTGATTGGTTAAGATAAGATAGCTGTAACCTATATCATATCAGCATAACTAAAAGGTCTAGATATTTGTACAACATTATACAAGGGAATACAAACTGGTACTAGGTAGTGTGAACCCAAGATAAGTTCTTAGACTATATAAATCAAGAGAACCAGGTAGAAAGACAGAAGCCCACTTGAAGACCCAAATAGAGAGATAACCTGAACCTTTGACAATGCTACTGTAAAGACTAGACTTATGAAACAGAGCTAGAACTTGTGAAACTAGGCAAATATGCTGGTCTTTGAGAAGGGACCAGATGAACCAATCAGGCCACCAGAATTTCCAGATTTCAGAAGAAAAAGATACATGCTAGCAAATATATAAACCAAAGGTATATGGTTTTGACTTACCTTTTTAGGCTATCTGGAATGGCAGCTTGGTGGAACTTAAATTGAATACCAAAGTAGTAAAAATATGTTGTGAAGTTAATATTGGGGTTGGAGTGAACTCTACAAGGGCATAGCAGTTTAATAGTATGTCCTAACTGCAAGTGTTGGTCTTGGCCATAGCAATACCAGGTCAGCTATAAGAATGGAATACAGAAGATTCTAGAAGGTTTAGTACAAGATCAAAGGTTCTCCATATGAATAAACTGCTTTAAAGACTTGTATATTTGAACCAGTATTGACTAAGGCATCTTGGTAGGTGTAGGTAGATAAGTGGATATAGGAATAAAGTAGTTAAATAGGAAACCTACAAGCAGGTTTTAGGTATGGCAGCTAGTGTAAAACCTTTGGGTAGACTACTTAAATTAAACAATAACTAAAGTTGTATGAATAGCTAGTTGTACACTCTTTTCATGATTGCCCTTTGTGGTTGTAAAGCAATTATTAGCTGAATATATTATCAATAAAATCCTGAATTGTAAGTACTCACCTTAATATTTAAAAAAAAAAAATCTTTGAGTAGACTATTTAAATTAACAACAACTAAAGTATAATAAGTAACTAGTTATATATTCTTTTCATAGTTGTCTCCTGTGGTTGTAATTTAACTATTAGCCAAATACTGTATACTATCAATAAAATTCTAGATTGCAAGTACTTATCTTAATATTTAAAAAAAAAAAACTTGTAATTTTTAATATAAACTAAAAAGTTATATTAAAAATTATAAGTTTAAAATAAAGTGTAGCAACCTAATAAAATGATCAGGTTGTCAACTTTCAAGTGGTAGGTTAGGTGTTTAAATCTTATTGATAGTGAAAATTTGAATAATTATTTATGTAATATTTGTATTATAACAACTATTATTAATAATTAGATTAGAATATCTGTAATAACAGTTATATCAGCATGACTGGCAGGTTATAAGACATCTGTATAATAAGTTATACAGAGAAATACAAACCAGCAAATTAGGCAGTATAAATGCTAGATAAGTTCTTGTGATTATATAAATCTGTTGAAATTGGGTAACAAGAAATCCATTTAAAAAGATCCAAATAAAAAAGTAATTAGATCTTTGATGATTCTATTGTAAAGACTAGTATGGTAAAACAGATACCCAGATCATAGTATCCAGTCATAGTACCCAGATGGGCAAGAACCTTTAGGTTGGAAGTTTCAGAGATATTACCAACCAAGTTACCAGAATAAACTAAAAGAAATGAATATTAGACTGATCCAATATACTAATAGACTGATCATAGTTCTATACAGATTATCTGAATGAGGAATTTAGACAAAAGACTAAACAAAAGGCAAGAATTTACTAAAATACTGAGATTATGATATAAAATAGATATTGAAGTCTATGTAAACTTTACAAGAATATAACACTTTAATGATTAGTCCTAATTACAAGTATTGATTTTATTATAACAATACAGATTAGTTATAAACATAGATACAGAAGGCTCTGAAAGGTTTATCTCAAAGATAAAATAGTTCTAAGGTTGAGATGATGATCTGAATATTTGGATATAACTTAGTAAAATTAACAAGTTTGCAAGTTCAGAAAGTTTAAAGTAAAATACCCAAACAGAGATGTTAGGCATAGAAATTGGTGAAGAACCTTCAAGTGGATTTCTTAAATAGGTAATATAGAAAATTTACATGTGTAACCAATTGTATACTCTTTCTGTAATGGTCTACTGAACCACATTTATCATCATTAAATAAAAGTCAAAAGACCAAAAAAGTCACCTTAATACCAAAAAAAAAAAAACTAAGTTTAAAATTAATATTTAAAAAGTTTATTATAGAAAACTAAAAAATTTTTTTTAAAATTGTATATTTTTAGTCTATAAGCAACCTACACAAGGGTGTAGAAATATCAAAAAAGGGTGTGAAAAAATCAGAACCTTATTGTATTGCATGTTGTGTATTATTAATGAGTAACAAATCGACTTTGTTAAAGACAATTTTGGTAAATTTATCATTTACTATTAATACTGGTAAAATTAAAAAACAAATATCTGACTTTTTGACAATACCCTATTATAATTTATTGCAAAAAACTTTTTTGGTCTTTATTACAAATTTAAACCTTTTAATATTAATCTTTGTCTTCTTCCATAAAGTCCGGATTCTTCCGGAGCAAGACGAAACCTTCAAGAACATGGGATAAAGATATGTCTTTTCGTTGACAAATTTTAGTTAAATATATTAAGGATTAATGAGGACAACAAAAGTAATAAAGAATATCAATTGTTTACAGTAAGGATACATTCTTCTGTAGCCAATTCTGCGCGTTCAGAATGTGCTAGCAAGACCGGCGTTGAATGTGTTTGGAATCCTGTAATTGTTTTTGGCCGCCCAGCTTGTCCTACTATATCTACAGCCTTTAATCACAATAAAATAAATGCATTATTAATATTGTGTCAAGATTAACGATTTTAACCATTATTGGTATCACATGTAAAATGATATCTAATGAGATACAAATAGACATCCCTATTGCTGCCGGATTTTGGCGCTAAGAGAAATCAATAGGCATCAATCAGAATAATATTATTCTGATTGATGCCTATTGATACCATATTAACATCCCTTAGCGCCAAAATCTGGCAGCAATAAGGATGTTTATTGGTATCCTATTGGATATCATTTTATATGGGGGTTTTTCCTTGAAAATCAAGTTATGAGACATATAATTTACTATGTCTCATAACTTGGTTTTCAAGGCAAAGACACTATATGTATATCTAATAGCATTACAGCCTGTTAATAAACAAATAATGTAAAACCGTAAATATTACCTGTCCCACACGAACGGTCACAGGCAAACTACTCAAATTTTCGTCAAGCGTAATCAAAAATCTAGGATACATAGAAGTTACCAAGTAATATAAAAACCAATGGTATCTGCCCAGTATCACTAAAACAAGATGAATTGTTAAAAATAAATATCTATCATCTCAGAATGATCATGAAAGGGAACTTACGCATTTTAACATCCGTGAAAGCAATCAGTGTTGTTAAGAGACCAGCTATTCCGACAGGTGACATTAATTGTCGATCAGAATGATACGGATTAATCGATATTGTCCCTTTGCCCATATGTAACAATCCCTATTTATTTAACACAAGGATATTTACATTAATCTATATTAACTTTTATTAATTCAATATAATATCTTACCTGTGCAATTCTAACCATGAATAGACAATTGGGTTCTTTATGATAATATGATGCCAATTGTCTCAACATCTGTGCCAATCTTGCATTATTCGTTCCTGCGCCGACAAGACCCATAGCAAATATCGCGTTAATAGCAACATCTGTATCATTTTCGTGAGAATATTTACTAAGTGTTTCTAAAACACTGAGCAAAGGATTGGATGCACAAAGCAAGCCTATTGCAAGGGGAACTGCGCGACGAATAACAGGTTCACCATAATGCATCTATTAATAAAAGAACGGGCGTTAAGAAAATTGTACAATCTCAAGAATCTAGATTCTTACAAGTATGGATATGTATCTTATTTCCAAGACAACTTGTAAAGCATACCAAATGATTAAATGATCTTAACGCCATCTCAGCACCAATGTCTTCACCCATGGCTATCAATGCTACACCTAAGACAGCAAAAGCTTGAAACAAATCATCCTCTTTGTCTTTATCTAAATGGTCATTACAAAGATGCAACATATTCTGCACTTTAAGCACATTTCCAGTTCCTAAAAAAAAGGTAAAGCTCCATGAATATTTAATTAATGTCATTAAAATCTAAAATTAATTTAATAATATACCTGCATATGAACAAATTTCAACCAAAACTGCGACTTGCTTACTAAGAGGATGTTCTATAGCCTTCAAAGTTTCTAAAGTCACTTCTGCAGCATCTTGTTTACCTATTTACCAAAAGTCATATATATCAGAAATGCAATCATGCAATAATATATCATATTTTATTTATATTTCATACCAAGGTAAAGTAAAGCTAATCCGAGTCCCATAAACCTGCCCCAAGTTTCTTTCAATTGAGAATCCTCGCGTTCCATCATCGTTTGCAATATTGTGCTTGTGATATCTCCATTACAAGATCCAACAAAAACCAGACCTAGAGACAAAGCCGCGAGAGAAGCTATTTCCATATTTAAAGTATTATCACTTACGAGAGGAAGAAGTAAATCTCGAACATCATCTCGATGGGACCCAGCATATGCCATTCCAAGACTAATAATAAAATTTATTAAGCACATTAAAAGAATTATATGCAATTTTACCATTTTAATGGTTTACACTATAATTTTTTACCTACCCAACGATAGTGCAGATCCGCATATTAGAACTAGCTGCACTTTCGATATTTTCGGAAAGCAACGCAAAAGCGGGATCATTTTCATTACGAACACCTGTATTTACTAGCCCAATGGCGAGAAGAGCACCGGCCTAAGAGTCACGCCCATATTGTTAATTATTAATCCTATGACATAACCCAACCAAAGAAACAAATATCTTGTACATAATAATGATCAAGCATATGTGAAAAAAGTCATTTTATGAACAAGCCATTGACTGTTTCTAACATACGAATTGAACAATTGATGTAGTGTCGTATGCGATATTTAATGCAATTCAAATATTTGAACTATTTACTTTATATAGTTGTAAAATTCGTAGATCTCAATTATTAATTTATACACAAATCATCGTACCTTAATATAATCCTCATTTGAATATAAATATTTATCAAGTTGTGCCAAACCAGCATCCACATCCCATAGCATGATCATACCAATAGATGCAGTAGCGCTCAGCATACCTGAATGAAAAGCAACAATGCATCATTAAATGAAAATCAAAATATAATGCAACTGTTTTTCAATTATTTTCAATTATTTTCAATTATTTTCAATTATTTTCAATTATTTACCATTATCTTTGTTTTTGTAAATCCATGCGTTACCATCCTCAATTGATATTAATTTATCATTACCAAATCCAGCGTTAACGAATGCATTCACAAAAGTTGATGCTAAATTTTGTCGTGCAGAATCAACACTACCACTTGAGAACCCTGGGCCTGAAATTAATATGGATAATCAATTATAAAGCAAAAAAAAACGAGTAAAATAAAAAAAAAATTTAAACTTACGAATATTTTCTAGATGGCTTTTATAAATATCCTCTGGAGTCTTGGGCTCAAGAACATCTAATTCTTTCGCTAGTGCAATAAAGTGTTTGGTTAAATGGGTATTATTCAGTATATCCTGTATTTTCTCGTCTTCGATTGGTAGAGGGATTTGTTGTCTTGCTAATATAAAGGCGATCTGCTTTTGCAACAATCTTTATAAACATAACAAATTAGAATTGCAAGATGAAATGCATTTATTAAGTTGAAACTATTAAAATTGAACATACTCATCCAATTCTCTGGCAGCATTGAAATCTTCTCGTATCAGATCATAATCTCCAAGTCTGATGGCCAACGATACAGCTTCTGTAAATTTGTTTTCTTTTCGATATATTGCATGAGCAGTTCGCAGGAAAGCAACATCGTCAGGCGGAACCAACAAGTTAACACAACTATAAAACACAAAAACTTATCAATTACATGAAATATAAACAAACTATATAGTTAAGAATTCAAATGATTTGTATTACTTCATTGACATCGCATAATGCGACAATTTACAAGTAACCTATGCTAAAATTAATAATATGCTAAATTGTCACACTAAATGATATCGATTAAATGGCTAGTCTATCAGTGAATGATTTTAGATTTTACCTGACCATGTAAAGGCATACGCGCGCATAAATATCCTTATCCACAAAATCAGGCAATTTTTCAATTGCTTCTAATTGAAGTAACAAATCAACAGCGTCCGCTTCAGCATTATGTTTCAAAAAAAATGGAACAATTTCCAAGGCAAGTGTCATGAGATCATCAGAAGGTAACTCGTTTTCCTGATGGTATTCATATTCCTGGCCAATTTCAGTTGATAGATGCCTTTAAAAAAGGAGTATAAAAAAATTATTTAATAATTAAAAATATTAAAAATTTATACATTTAATCACGACACACCTCACATATTCGTGCCCCCAAGATCCCGGATCTTCACGTGACCCTTTCAACCTATATTTCAAGGAATCTCTTTTTCCTTCATCGTAAGTCATCGCCAAAACAGACAAAATATCGGCCAAAAAGAGCTACGACGAAAAAAACAATATGCATTAATGTATAACGTGACATAGTTACAAAATATATGCGTAATTTTGATTAAGTTTGATACCTTGTTATCAGATTCAGGCCAGCTCTCATAAATTTCAGTTACGGTAGCATAATGAGGCCTTAAGAACTTTAATGGTTTCGGAACTGAGGTCATCGAGCTGGTAGACGTTCGAATTAGGGTACGAAGACTTTCTAAAGCTGGCCTGTGAAGATTAACATCATTTTCCTAGAATGTTTTCAAATCAATGTTAATCATCCAGCAACAAATAGATTAATATTATTAGCAATGTTGACTATCAAACTCCACCTTTAATCGTTCCACTAACATTTCCAGTTCATTCTTAAGTTGGAGATCTTCTTCAGACTGAAAACGTGAAATAATGATGTCAATGCATGCATATTTAGAATGAAGATATCTCAACAGAATTCGGTTCCTAACGACGTTTCTTGCGACGACGAGCCGTTATCGTGTTTTATCACGCGCTGTTCAGAGTTGCAGCCAAGTTTGTAACTTCGATCAATGCGATACAGAATTTAGGCGTCGTCTTTATAAGATTAATGATATTAAAAGCCATACCAATTCTTCCAATTCGTCCTTTTTTTCCTTGTCGCCATCCGCTTTTATCTCACTTTCTTCTTTTGCTTTCTGTTTGTCTTTATTCGAGGTATCTTCAGAAGGTACAACGGTTTTCGCTGCTTCTCGGGCCATATTTTTGAAAGCGGATAAAAATTTCTCAAGCTTAAAGTTTTGTGGTGAATTCGAATTTAGTTAGTATCAGGTATTAGTAGTCCGAGAAGCATACGTCCTATTAATACGTATGCCTAAAGGTGGTATACGTAATCATCAAACATCTTGATCTGTACTTCGATGATCCCGTGTAACTGGTCTATAAAATCTTAAAATTTTTAAAAAAATTTGTTCCTCCTCTTTGCCGTTGGCTTGTGTAAATTTGCTAACAATGGTACGTTATATTAAAAATTAAAATATGATCTCAATTATATAATTCTTTTTAAAAATTCTTAATTCATATTAGCATTAGAGTTTTTTTTTCAATTTTTAATTTTTAAGAAAATTCTCCAGTTCATTTTTAATATTAAGAAAAAATATACCATCCGTTCAAATTAGATAAACTTTAAAAAAAATTAACATTATAATTTGGAACCAAAGTTTACACAATTTACTATCTAATTATTTTTCATTCATTCATAAGCACTTTATTTGAAATAAAGTATTTTTTCTCTGTTAATTACTTTAATAAATACTGTTTTATCGATCCATTTTTTTTGTTGTACAGGCTCGTGGACCGAGGAAACATTTAAAACGGCTTAATGCCCCAAGTCATTGGATGTTGGATAAACTTACTGGCACTTATGTATGTGATTATAATTGATCAAAAACTATTGTGAATATAAAAATTTAATATATATAATATTGAACTTTTAATAATGAATTAATAAATAATAAGGCTCCAAGACCATCAAGCGGACCTCATAAGCTTCGTGAATGCTTGCCTCTTGTTATTTTCTTGAGAAATCGTCTTAAATATGCACTTACTAAAAAAGAAGTACAAAGCATTCTGATGCAACGTCTTGTAAAGGTTGATGGTAAAGTTCGTACTGATACCACTTACCCTGCCGGATTTATGGGTATATAATTTATTGGTTTTTTTGAAAAAAAAATCTATGAAATATTTTTTAAAAACCAAATTTTGATTAATTTTTATCTTTTTTTAATTAACAAATATAAAAGATGTTATATCCATAGAAAAAACTGGTGAAAACTTTCGTCTTATTTATGACACTAAGGGTCGATTTACTATCCATAAAATATCTAGTGATGAGGCTACTTATAAATTGGCCAAAGTTAGAAGGGTTCAAGTTGGTGCTAAAGGAATCCCATTTCTTGTAACTCATGATGGCCGTACAATTCGTTATCCTGATCCTCTTATCAAAGTTAATGATACTGTTAGACTTGATTTGGAAACTGGTAAAATAATTGAACATATCAAATTTGAAGGTAACATATTTATTTATAAATTGAGATCCACATTTAATCGATTAAAAACCAAAAATTAATCGATATATATTTTTTTTCTTTTTTTTTTAAAAAAAAAAACTTAGTTGGAAACACTGCTATGATAACTGGTGGTCGTAACATGGTAAAATGACTGATACGTATAAATTTATTCCACTTTATGTCGTTTTCATTTACTTTAAATATATATACATAGGGACGTGTTGGAATAGTAACTCATCGTGAACGACACGTTGGAGGTTTCGGTATGTAATTTTTTTAATAATAAAAGCATTACTCAATTTTCTACCTCATTAATGACTTGTCACTATGATTTTGTCAGACATTATTCATGTTAAGGATTCCATGGATAGGCACTTTGCTACACGATTAACTAATGTCTTTATTATCGGTGAAGGTAACAAACCTTCTATTTCATTACCAAAGGGTAAAGGTGTCAAACTAACTATCTCTGAAGAACGCGATAGGTCAGTACTACTTTTTTATAAATAAGGCAATCATAAATAAAATTTCTCATCCTAACTTTTCTTTTTTTAAATAAAGGCGTCGGACTAGAGCCGCAGCTCATTAGAGATGATCAATTAGGAAATGATCGATCATTTGATTTGTTTGATCATAAAAAATTTTTTTTGAATATGGTCGGTCGATAAGTGGTCGATCATTGAATAGTCATGCCTAACACTATGCATCACTCGTATTATATTCGTTACAATATGCACATCTTTACAATCCGAATCTCTTTATAATCGTCAATTGTGTTAGCAGAAATCCTTAAGTCAACGAATAAAATACATGATTTTTTTTAAAAAAATTATAAATAGAAGATAAACTAGTTACAACCAAAATTTCTTTATAAAATAGTAAAACAAAACATAAAAAACGAAATTATGAAGTTTTTTTTTTCTGTGTTTAAAATACTAATTTTATCAATAAAATTAAATTTTTGGCCACCTTAATTCTGGCTAATCTCATTCAAAATTAGCGTAATTCTGGCCAAAATTATTTTAAATGTTAGCGTTAGATATTTTAATATATACATATCTATATTATCTAATCAAAATATCTTATTTTTGTATAAATTTGGCCACTTATATTAGTGACATGCTGGTCTAATAATTCCTTATTAATCAACGCGAATAAAATAAGGTTTAAGAAATCCAATAACTTACAATACATATTAATAAGATTTGTTATTATCTTTAATAGTATTAATACTGCATCATGTTTGAAGTTAACACCTGCTACGTAAAAGTTTGGAGTGTACGACATCGGTCTAATTACAAACATAATGCAGGTGATCTACTGATGATCACTAATCAAGATTTTTTATAATAAAAATTTTTTGGATCGAAATTCAATATTAAAGATTATGAGAAATAATCTTTAATTCCTCGCGTAATATCTTATCTTGTTTACTTCTATAAAAAAAAATTTGGTTAATCAAAGATGTCTTTATATCGTAATATTTGACTTGTTAATCAAAGATGTCTTTATATCGTAATAACGTCAGAATTTTTGACTTGCTAATAAAATAACTTTATTTCATGGGTACGTACTAGCAAAGTTTAGTCACATGATAGATTTTTATGTTGTACAAAGAGATAATGATAACTAATGATGCTGGTGAAATTATTTAATTTCACCAGGTGAAATGGTGAAATAATTTCACCAAAATTACAACAAAATTAAATTTTGGTGAATTGGTGAAATTGGTGAAATTGGTAAAATTGGTAAAATTGGTGAAATTAGTAAAATTGGTGAGATTGGTAAAATTGGTGAATTATTATAAATTAAAAAAAATTTTATTATTTATATTAATGCTTTAATAATATATAAATAATTTCTAAACTTTGTA